TTTTTTTTTTATCCACAACGAGGAAGCTCTTGGCCTGTATCNTGTGTCGTTCATATTATTATGGACTTTTCATCCTCTGTACTGTGTTCGGTATCTCCAGTATCTTCGGTGTCTTGGTGTTCGTGTTGGCAAGGTTGAAGTAATGAAAGTACTGCTTTAGAGAAAGGTATTCTTTTCAATTTAATTTGCTAAATGGGTTTTAGCAATCGCCCTACGAGTGTGGACCCCTTCCCGTGCCACACACAACCCTTCATCGGAGTATAGTTAATGTCAGATTATATTTCAATGCGTAGATGAAACATTGCTATAAAAAATTGTATAGGCGAAAATAAAAATAATAAAAATTCATACATCTCTGGTACAAGACACGATCCACAGAAGATAAAAATATTTCTACATAGAGGCTATACCAAAGTATTGTTCAGTATGAAATAAAATTGCGGATTCCGTTTAGGATGGAAGAAAAAAAATAAAGTCTAAATAATGAAAAATAATTAAAATCTCTGGAACTACTTGACTTGTAGAAATGAAATCAAGTACAATACATGCGTCTTTTAATGATCAATCGAATCAGCTTTATCACAAGTTTACAAACCCTCTTAATTATTAAAAAAAAATTTTTTTCATTTTTAGGAATTTTAAAAACGGCCAACTTTCACAATTTTTTTCTCAAAAACCAAGTAAAATGAGCACACGTGAGTTTCACTCTTGTAATTGAAACATAAGAAGCTATCGACTCATGGCATTAACTTAATCATGTCCGATTTTGAGGGTTTCTAAAACACTGTGGGCCCCCGAAAGGGGCGCTTTTTTGGTTTTCCGGTTATACCGCGTAAAGGACTTACCCTATCGAAAAGTGGTCTTCCTGACGATTGAAGGGCATTTGATCCTGCTTTAAATAAGACCAAATTCATATGTTTTGGACAAACCGTTCTCGTGCAAATGTTCGGCAAAGTAGAAAATATGTGTATAATTAATGACCCTCTCCACGTCAAATAGCTCGTCACCCGTAGGCTCCCTAGCCTTGTAAAGGGTCGCCTTAACCAGCGTATCCCTGTCAAGGCTCACGAGTTGGATTCGCTTATCCTTGTTCGTCCCAGCCGTTCCTTAACTGCGGTTGCTGCACCTCTTCCTGGCACTCTCCTGAACGACTCTGTGTTACCTAATGTGGCTACCCCTCTTCCTTGTACCCTCCGTTTGTTCAAAACATATGAATTTGGTCTTATTTAATACAGGATTAACCCTTCAACCGTCAGGAAGACCACTTTTCGATAGGGTAAGAAGTCCTTTACGCGGTATAACTTGAAAACCGAAAAAGCGCCCCTTTTGGGGGCCCCCACCACTTAAGCACAACTCCGTCGAAGTCGAAAACCTAGGAGAGTCTTTATGGGCTACTAATGAAGCCATTAAAGCACTAAAATCTTTAGTAGGAATTATTTCCGATTTAATTCATTTTTGTGTTTAATTCTACTGGCCTATTATAATAAAAAGATATTGCTTATTTATGGAATTGGTTGCGTGTAATACAGATAGAATAACCGATTTAAATCCGGGTTTCGATTTTTAAAACCGGTTTTAGAATTCGTCGAAAAAGGGCGGTTTTTCCGATTTTTCGGTTTCCGATTAACCGGTTTTGCATTCCCTAGTGTCGGCTCATATACCCATTTACCTAACACCCTGTATAGCTTATTTAAAAATCTTCCCAAAAATACTTAATTTTACGCTTGCATGTGACTTAAACGAAGATGCATGCCGTATCATCTCACCGTATTTCACGATGATAATATCCTCCAGCCACAGGTGGTAACGATGCACTCGGGCAGAATTTAAGATTCGATAAGGCACTATTGAAGCATTCGAATTCCAATTTTCACAGGAATCTGCACCAATCGTATATGGATCCGTTTAAGATTTGAGCGGATTCTACGCGAATCGCAAACTGAGTCTTAAAATTACTTGTCTGCTGACTTGCTCAATCAATAACTTCACTTCTAGATTCTACTCTAAAATGTAATAACATTTTTACTTTTAACATCCAAGAGAGCGGTAAATTCGGTTAGGGGAATCCTACGTCTGACATTTATTAATCCACTTCTTATAATATTATCAGTGAAGAATTCCTGTCTATAAGGCACATTGCCTTATTTTCAGAGTAGGTAACAGTGAAGTTAAACTCATTTAATTCCTTAACTTGATGGTTGATTAAGTTTGTATGGATTCTTAAGAGCACAGCCTTATTAATAAAATAGTTTTCCAACACTTGGCATGCAGTAATTAACAAGGTTAGCCGGGAACTGACTGAAATTCAGCGGTAATTACGTACAGCCTCCAAAGGGACCGCACCTCGTGTACCTAACACAATATTACTAATTACCGTCATGTGTGTACTATAATGTCATTTATTTAATCAATGAAACGCCTCTGATGAGAGATGATAGGGTTTATAATGCGATAAGTCCCATTTCAGTTTTAATAGAGCAAGTTAAGGCACTCGGGCTGTTTTTATTGTGCTTTTATCATATCAACTCGCTGGTTCACGTTTATAAGGGTTACTATAAAAGTTATGGATGTTGAGCGTAGGCCCAGCGTCAACACGTAAAACTCACGAAATTACGGTACAGCACTTTTCAGACATTTAAGTTAGTCCAAGTCTGCAATTTCCCAAAGTAACTGGAACCACATGCACTATTAGAATATTTATCAAACAAGCAAGTGATTTTCCTTTTGTGATTGATATTCGTCTTCAGGAATAACTATCATTTATTAAATATAATACTACGATTAAAAATAATTAAGATTAAGTAGTAGGTATTGTTTAATTGTTCTATAGAGCTTATAAAAAAAATGGATACTCATTAAGCAAAATCACCGTGTAACTAACTACTACTACTGTACTACTACCGTGTAAAATCACTAATAGAAAGTTATATCATAATTGAATGTTATTTTGATCGCATGTCCATTAATGTTTAATTTTAGCATAATGTGGATAGAGTTTAATGGACAATAATAGGACTTAATATAATGGTACCGTTTTATGAGAGACTCGCAAAGCAATTTAAAGAGCATGTACGCCCACACACGTGGTGGTTGGCATTTCACAACCTACGAGTTTGCGTATAGAGGCTCTATCAATAAATACATTATTTTTGTTTATGGCTGAACGAAAATGGCTTTTTTATCTGCCATTGATTCTTATCTGATCTTTTTATAAAACCTTTAAGAAAATGTTCAGAATTTTATTTTCGTTTTTCATTCTACTTCATCACGTGTGCACGGTAACGTGTGGGAGGATTTTAAAATTCATTTGTTTTCATGGATTGAAACAATTTCACTTGTTTTTGTTCGAAGTAATCTATATATATAAAAATGAAACCCGTTTCGCGTTGTCACGGCATCACGTGTGAACGGCTGAACCGATTTCGATAATTCTTTTTTTTAATTGTTTGTGGAAGTCCAAGGATGGTTCTTACGGAAAAAAATATTAAGAAAATCTCTATGCTAAGGCGGTACGAAGTTCGCCGAGTCAGCTAGTAAATAATACATTGAATTGACTGCACCCAAGTAAAGCCGACATGTTCAGTAGCTAGGATCTTATTATTGGATTGACCTCCGCGTCGATGAGAATGAAAGCTAATAAAATACACGCTTTATTGCACTTTGTGGTTTATGTACTTAGCTTCACAATACATAAAAGAGTGTAGTTTGTAGTGCTAAGATTATTTGCACATGAAATTGCACTGTTTTATTAGTATCGCTTATTTATTTAGTTTAAAATGTTAATATTAAACTAAATAAATAAGCGATACTAATAAACGGTTTATAAATATTGATATCGTGCTTCGCTGACGGGAGTTCATTGAATGATATTGTTTATTAAATGTGTATTACTCACAATGTAACGATTAATCATTCTCGCACCGTTATCGTAATCGTGCTAACGACATTTATGTTGTTTATAATATTCTGTAAACATTTCCGCTATAAGGAACTGGTCAAGTGAGATTATCTGCAAACAATTTTCGTTTTCATAAGGTAGTTAATGGATTCCAGTGACCCGCACTGGTGACGGTCATTCCCCACAATGCACCAGTGCGATAGGGGTTAATGTGGAGTTACATAACGTTAGTCACAGAGTCTCGCAGCGTATACTATCGATCCGTGGCACGGTGCCAATAACAAACTCGCTCGCTCGCTCTGCTCTTCTAGAAGTTTTACTCCAAACTTTTGTATTAAAAACTATTTATTAATGTTAAGAGCCGTACCCACGCTTGTAAGGCACTTTTTATCGAGCAAACGTGGCACTTCCAGACGGCGGATTTGCATTTACAATCGATTGGGGTGAAACATGGGGTGACTAACCCGAGTTCTGCGAAGTTAATATCGGGCTCTGAATTACTAACTTGGCGTCAAACTATTGGGATTTGACAGTCGTTTGTGGCTATATTACCTGTCTCTAACATGTCTTTATTAATTTGCTTGTAGCTCTACCACATACACATACGTACGTGCTAATTTCAGAAGGCAACTCCAGAAAATAAATCTAGATTCTTTCAAAGGTTATTAGAGGATTTTCAGGAGACAAAATTAAGAATTTTATACACAATACCTAAATTAACAAAAAATCCATAGAGCCATCTGGAAACACGTGTCACGTAGATTGCACGGTAATTGGCGTAAAGCATGGCAATAATGTAAGCTATTGAAGCGTAGGCGCTACGTAAGGAAGGACCTAGTATGATTTATTGTAGGTATACATATAGATCTTTTTTATTAAAAGTAATACTAAAATAACATTTACCGTTGCTTATGCCTCCTAAGATATTGGTTTAGTAGACACGCCAATATTTATGATTCGTACGCGTAGGTCGCGAATTTAAAGTACATAAGTTACTGTGTGTGAGTGACTTTCTTATCTACACAGTTTTACCAAAAAGCTTATGCTAATTAGTTTGAAATTGAATCCTCGTTCGTAATTAAAACTGCGTCTTTCTTTTTTCCAGGTTGGAATCGTAAGCAATAAGATCGCTCAATAATGGCGTTCGCTGGACTCAAGAAACAGATCAACAAAGCTAATCAGGTGAGGACGGCGTCTTATTAAAAATATCTCTTTAAAAGAAACTTGGCTATTATAAGCGGCGGCCAACTTGAGATTAAAAAGATGGACCGGAATATTACCGCGTCCCCTCAGGCGGAGGATATCAGAAAAGTTTATTCCCAAGATTAGGTACAAAACCATTATCGACGTCAGACGTTATTTGATTTAAGATTTAAGCTCTTCAGATTCATGACAGTAGAGTCTGCACATCAGTATTAATTAAGCAAATACTGAACTCTAAATCGATGAATTTGCTAGACGAAACCGTTATTCAAATGTCTGGAGATTGAATAAGTAATATCCAACTTAATTTAGTCTGATGTCTGTGATTACCTTAACGTTTACGTGTCTAATCTACCGGGGGAATTGCGATAGACATTAACTTAGCAAAATTGCTTGCGTCAACTCAGTATTCTGGGCTGCTCCGGGTCACTAAATTACCTCAAAATAGCGCCAAGGAGCATCATAATAAAACAAACTTGTGCTTGTCACTTCTTTCTATGTAGAGTCAGAATTATACTTTCATTCTTTCTTTCTGTTAAAAATATGGAACAACGAAGCAATAGGCCAGTCAAGTAAAGTAGGCAAGCAAGCCGTATGTGTGGATAACAAAAACGTAAAATGTTGAAAGAAAAAAAAATTACAGTTTTAATTTATACTTACATAAATCTTCCGACCCTGTGCTCTGGGCAAATAGATACATTTGAAAGAAGTGAGCATACACTCAGTTGGAGGAATTTTTGTCCACTGAAACGTAGTGCTAGCTATCCATTTCTAACTCGTGAAGACAGTAATTGCTGAAGCAACGAACCTGCGTTCGGTCAGACGCCATGTTTCGGAAATTACTGGATATCAGCTCGCGCAGATTCAGCGAGCTGGAAGCCAATATGCGATGTCGCTCGCATGAAATATTTTTCAATTAAACGAATGGACATCGCAACTCCATTAAAGTTAATAGTCGCTACGTCCGCGTTTTACAGGGTCTACAACAATATTATTGAGTGCTATAACCGTTTGCGCTGCTTCGTAGGGTTTATTTCCCTTTGGTAATGCCCCGCTTCCTTTCAATGAATAGAATTCACGAAATTTCGTTTGTTAAGATCGTTTGCAGATTTTATCTCCAATTTGCTTGATGTACTTAGAGATGCTTTTGTTAATTTGAGGAGGATAATCATTTACACACTTTACACATAACACATTATCATGAGTTTATGGTTTACTGGACTATAGCATATAAACTTTATTTTAAATTATCCTGCTTTCGCCTCCGAGATTTATTTTACCATGTAGTACCCCTGTACGACAACCCAATCCGCACACAATATTCAGCGTAGTAGTATTAAAAAACAAAAGAGCGGGCAACCCCACCCCTACCACGCTGTGGGCTCGGTGTCCGAGCGGTCTCATTCCTTTGTGCGCACGCGCAACGACCGCACGCAGTATAAGAAAAATGCTTAAGTGACGTCACCAGGACGTTTTTACCGACAAAAAACGTAATTATTTTAAGTTGTGCAGTGTAGTGACGAGAATTAGACCCAACAAAAGGTTGGTTGTAACAACTATTTTGTGCAAGTGCTCGTACATTTTTATTATAAGCGTTGTGACACGACGCGTAACTTTGACCCATTTTTAGCTCCAAGTTAACGCGCGATGTTAACCAGTAGCCATTTTTTTGCTCCGAGGTAATGCGAGATGTTACCCAGTAGCCATTCTTTTGCTCCGAGGTAATGCGAGATGTTACCCAGTAGCCATTTTTTTTTCAAAATTTTATTCTACCGTTTTGTCGGCGTGATTAATATACATACCTCTACAAAATTACAGCTCCCTAGTGCCAATAGTTTCCAAGCAAAAACTCGGACAGACAGACAGCCAGACATATCGAAACTATATTAAGGGTTCCTTGTCAGGAGTAAAAAATGATATTTGTATGATGATAATGTCATTTTATTTTATACAGTCTAAACAAATCTATACTTATAATAAATCTGTAGAGAGGTCAATTCTGTACATGAAATATATTTTCAAAATAACTATCAGGGCGTGATTAGTGATCGATACTGATGCCAAAAATGCAATCAGTAAAATTTTTGTCTGTCTGTCTGTCTTTCTGTCTGTCTGTCTGTCTGTCTGTCTGTCTGTATGTTCCTTATAGAAACAAAAACTACTCGACGGATTTTAACGAAACTTGGTACAATTATTCTTCATACTCCTGGGCAGGTTATAGGATACTTAGGAATTCCCACGGGAACGGGAATTAGCGGGAAAACCCTTTCGTATGAAAAATCTAAACCGCTTAAGTTAGACGCTTGAAATTTGGCATGTAGGTACCTTAATAAACTTAAAGCTTAGTTACAACAAGGAGTTCCCGAAATTCCCACGGGAACAGGAATTAGCGGGAAAATCCTTTTGTATGAAAAATCTAAACCGCTTAAGTTAGACGCTTGAAATTTGGCATGCAGGTACCTTAGTAAACTTAAAGTTACAACAGAATATTGCAAAATTCCCACGGGAACGGGAGTTGGCGGGAAAAAACATTTGTATGTAAAAATCTAAACCGCGTAAGATAGATGAAGGGGGTAAACCGGGATCCACGCGTACGAAGTCGCGGGCGGCCGCTAGTATGATCAAACGAACTTACCAAGTGAAGTTCGATCTAAATTATCCTGTTTTCGCCGAAGAGATTTAAGGTCCCTCCCAACCCGAAGATTTCTATATCTTCTTCCCTGGAGGTAAACGTCAATGTCATCTCTTCTCTAAATATAATGAGACCGCTCGGACACCGAGCCCACAGCGTGGTAGGGGTGGGGTTGCCCGCTCTTTTGTTTTTTAATACTACTACGCTGAATATTGTGTGCGGATTGGGTTGTCGTACAGGGGTACTACATGGTAAAATAAATCTCTTCGGCGAAAACAGGATAATTTAGATCGAACTTCACTTGGTAAGTTCGTTTGATCATTCAAGTATGAGACATGATAGTTACATAAAAATCGCGCGTGTTTCCAATCTTATCTCACACTAATCGTGTACAAACATTACTCAAGATAACATCAGTGACCTAGTGATATGCAAAAAGTAATCTTAGTTAGCTGCAACCTCCGCCTTTGTCATTTGATCTTGTTTTTATATCCCGGCTGCGATCTCAGCTTCGACTTATGGCGGCGAAGCAGGTCGAGTCGTGATTGATGGGCCAGTAATGGCACATATCGATACCCCCGCCCCCACTGGACTTACCTCATTGAATAATAGACTAAGCCTGACCCAATATTGTTGGCATGTTTATTTTATGGACAGGGAAAAGGAAAATATCATGCGGATAGAGTTACGCAAAGATATTTTCGTGAATACACACTTGGTAAACTTTCATATAGGTAAACAAATAATAAATCCAAGGTTCTCCGTTAAATACTGGCTCGCCTCGTATATTAAGAATTTTGATTGATATTAATCTTAAAGGAAATAACACGGATGCCCGTGGCATATTACATTAAGGAAGGAATTCTTTGGCCTTCTTAAAATACTCAGTCGAAGGTTTATCTCTGATCGTTGTTTAGGGCAAAAACGAGGGGGAAGAAAGTTCTTAGCGAGGCTTGCTATTTTTCTTTGTTGAGAATTCCGCTGGTAATGTAAATCTTGAGGGCAATTTAACGCCTTGGTTGCATTAACTTTGTTTTAGTATTCTTATGTTTGCTGCTTCTGACATCTCTAATTAATTATATCAAGCCCTATCTAAAGTATTGTGATGTGATCAATACTTGACTAATAGACGAAGCACGGGGATTACGCGCTACGAACGGCAGCGTTCATTAATGAGTTTTGATATCAAATTTGATATTCTACGAGAGACAATCTCGGTCGAAAACCACAATAACAGCTCTTTATAAGCCTTCATCAAAACAGGTGTCAACCCTATTTTGCATTTGTTAGGCTTACGCAAACAAGGGAGACGACGTTTACGATTTAATTCCCCATAAATCCTGGCGTATAATAGGAGTTGCGTAACAATTCTCCCATCCTTGCGCTTCGGGATGCACCGACCGATGGCCAGGGGAGCGGGGGCGGGCGGCCGTGACCCCGTCCTATATCGATGTGCCCCAATTATTGTGCCCTTCGCATCTGCAGGACCCCTTCGACATTGACACTCTATTATCTCCTGCACTAGTTTCCTTCAGTTCCAAGCCGAGCAACCTTGCTCCTGTGTCTCATCGTCATATTGTCACCTTCGCTATTTTTAGAAGTGACTTACCTGCTCTTGTTGTTATCAACCTTGCTTGCGTTCTGTACTCCTGAGATAACATCACAGGCAACGGAAATCATTTATCTAGTTTTTCTCTATTCTTTGTATATGCCATTACATCCATAATTACGTTATATTGTGAGACTTTTAACCCTGAAACCATTGTTGGGTAAAAAAGTAAAAATACTCGTAGATTGTAAAAGGTAAATAAATGCTTGTATAAAGCGTGTTAAAATTCCAAAGAATTTCAACAAAGTGAGTTAACAAGTAACCTAATTTGATAAAGCGTTAATGTATTGTCTATTTCTGGCTATAATCATTATAAATAATGTTAATTCTGTACTGTTAGAACTAACTATTAACTGAAAATAACGTTATTCTTAGAATTGTAAATTAAGTACAGGTCACGTAGAGCGATAAGTTTGGCCGAGCTACGTGCCGCCGAAGGAACTTCAGTAGAATAAATCTAGTCAACTGACGACCTAGTTCCACCCAGAACACTACACTAGATAATTGAGTTTCAGAACTCGGAGAGTTTTTTCAAGTACTACATCAGTATTCGAATGAAATACTAAACTTTATTATTCTCACTTCCTCTGACTTTAAATTACGGTTTATACGAAATAATATGTCAATGCCACGGCAACGAAAATGTCTGTGAGTAAATTCTATGACTTTATAAGCCACTTCATAATTAGCAGTCATAACAACACGGTGTTAAAGATTTAATTGACAGCAATTAGCCAAGTCCCGCCCCCGTAGCATCGCAGTCGATGCGATTCATTAACAGCCACTGAAGCTTTGCCCCATTATTACGATTTAAATTTTGCGATAGGTACCTCCCCTGTGAAGCGGGGAGCAATTCGGCCAAGGTTAGGCCACGGCCCGCGCTTTTGTTCGGCGCGCGTTCCGATACTTCCGACTTGTCCTTTGTATGAACTTTTTAAATACACTCTAATGCATCGCTGTAACATTTCAGCACGACACAGCCCTTTGAGCGCTACCGCGGACTCAACTTTTTTTTATTAATTTTCATCCTCGCCATAAAATGGGAGTACACGCGCCGCATAATGGGGAAATATGTTTTACGATCTGTCTCTCAACGTGGTAATTTGTTCGTTCTAGATATTTCCCGGCAAATAAATTACTATTAAAAGAGAGAAGCACTTATGTTATGAAGGTTAATTATGTGTTTTTTTACAGTATGTCACAGAAAAGATGGGCGGTGCTGAGGGCACAAAATTGGATTTGGATTTTGTGGAAATGGAAAGAGTAAGTAACGATGTTAACTTTATTTCATAAAAATGTTACGCAAATAAACCTCTAACAAAATAAAACCCGCAACGAAATGTCGTTTGCATGATGCCTCTTACGTCATATCAGAATATAAATGGACTTGATTAAATAAGTCAACCCACCCGCCTAAGTTGTTGTATAAACGGTTTTAGATTTCAGTTTACTGTAAAAGGTATTTATTTTTTGTGAAAATTTTTGTTTAACCCGTCTATTCTTTGAATATTTTTCACGAAGTTACTGAATGGAAGCTAGTAATTTGACTCATGGTTATAATTTCCAGAAAACGGACGTAACATGTGAACTGGTAGAAGAATTACAAACGAAGACAAAAGAGTTCCTGCAGCCGAATCCTGCGGCGCGAGCGAAGATGTCTGCTGTGAAAGGCATTAGCAAGCTCAGCGGGCAAGCCAAGAGCAACACGTATCCACAGCCAGAGGGCGTGCTTGGAGACTGCATGCTGCTGTATGGAAAGAAACTCGGCGAGGACTCGATATTCTGTAAGTAACAATGCTGAAAAGGTGTTTACACGTGATAGAAGCTAGTCTCCCTATAAATTAGCAAGCTCAGCGGGCAAGCCAAGAGCAACACGTATCCACAGCCAGAGGGCGTGCTTGGAGACTGCATGCTGCTGTATGGAAAGAAGCTCGGCGAAGACTCGATATTCTGTAAGTATCAATACTGAAAAGGTGTTTACACGTGATAGAAGCTAGCCTCCCTATAAATTAGCAAGCTCAGCGGGCAGGCCAAGAGCAACACGTATCCACAGCCAGAGGGCGTGCTTGGAGACTGCATGCTGCTGTATGGAAAGAAGCTTGGCGAAGACTCGATATTCTGTAAGTAACAATGCCGCAAAAGTTTTCAGAATCCAACAGTAGCTGCCCTACTGATAAACATTAGCAAGCTCAGTGGGCAGGCCAAGAGCAACACGTATCCACAGCCAGAGGGCGTGCTTGGAGACTGCATGCTGCTGTATGGAAAGAAGCTCGGCGAAGACTCGATATTCTGTAAGTAACAATGCCGAAAAAGCTTTCAGGATCGTACATTAGCTGCTTTACTGATAAACATTAGCAAGCTCAGTGGGCAGGCCAAGAGCAACACGTATCCACAGCCAGAAAGCGTTCTTGGAGACTGCATGGAAAGAATCTCTGCGAAAACTCGATATTCTGTAAGTGACATGACGCAAAGGGTTCAAGATTAGTCGCGCGTCATAGACGCTAACCTGCTGATAAACATCAGTAAATTCAGCAGGCAGGCCAAGAGCAATATGTACCTACAGCCAAGGAAAGTTCTCGCGTCTCTTAAGGTCACACGAAGATATCCTTTTTGAGACCCAAAGCTTCTATCTACGCGATTCGTTCGACTGATAAACCTAAGTTGTTAGAAGTAAAGTGCGCTTACGCTGATATATTTTATTTTCTCGTTCTTGTTACAGCGCAATGCCTCGTCGAAATGGGAGAAGCCCTGAAGCAGATGGCCGACGTCAAATACTCATTGGATGATAATATTAAACAAAGCTTTTTGGAGCCGCTGCACCATCTTCAGACCAAAGACTTGAAGGAGGTTATGGTAAGTGGTTGGTTTGGTAATGTAAAACTTATCTTCCTCTTTTTACAGTAGGATAGTATTTTATTATTCAAAATATTATTGATTTTATTGTCCTTATCTTGTAGCATCACCGAAAGAAACTACAAGGCCGTAGACTCGATTTTGACTGCAAACGACGTAGACAAGCAAAAGGTAATCACAGTTTTATATCTCCCCCCGTTCCATTTAACATTCTATTCTAAATCAAAAGTTTTAATCTAAAATTTTACTCTATACTTCTTAGTTGCGCTTTTAAGTGTGCTAATTTGACGATTTTCTTATTTTTTTGGTACAAATCAACCAGGCCCCGGTAGGGTCAGCCCTTATATGAGTCCAAGCCCAAGTCATACACCAAGGCAGGGTACGTGGGGATATCTTGATAAATGGATCTTAATTTTTGAACGCTAGACAGCCATGATACATACACCATAGTAGGCAGCTACACGTAATTAATACTAAGCATCATTATACAAATCCTATAACAGAAACTTGTTTCTTACATGTTTGTGTTCCCGCCCTGCGCGTGCGTCGTCCTTACCTCCATCTCATTTTGCACCCGAGTATTGTTTTCTGCGTTTGGTCTGTATACTTTTGTTTTCTTTTGTTTTTCATTTTTATTCTTTTGTTTGGCTTGTCCTGTCATTTTCCACCGCCTCGCGTGCACGACGCGTCGGTGCGCACTCACACATCAGGCTCTCACATTCCAGATGATGAGATCCGACAGGCCGAGGACAAGTTCGCCGAGTCGCTGCAACTGGCCCAGATCGGGATGTTCAACCTGTTGGACAATGATGTGAGTTAACTACACACACACGTAGAAACAATTTAGCTTGAAGGTGCACATTATTACGTGTTGTGGGCGGAGCTTACCATAATATTGCAATATTTATAATGAAACTCACTCATTCACTCTGATGCGCGTGCTCCCTCATAATGTGTACCTTACTTACCTTAGATGTGTTATCGACAAGTTGCAAGTCCTATTACGAGAAGGTGAATGCTTCAGTCGTGTCGTCATATTTGAGAATAATTGTACTTAGTAGATGACTTATAATTTCTGAATGATTCTTTCTTGTAACTTCTTTGTAACTTGCCGACGACATATTTATTATACGCTAGTTTTTTAGAGAAACAACACTTGATTGTAAACTGTATGAGCATGACTTAAGTTGTAAATTACGTATTTTGTAGGTAGAGCAAGTAGCGCAGCTTAGTTTCTTCGCCGAGGGCCTATTGGAATACCATCAACAGTGCACCGAGATTCTCAAAGGGCTCGTGTCCACGCTTATGGAGAAGTAAGTAACTATTATTTATTTAATTCTAATTTATACTTTGGCATCTTTAGCTGAACGTTTGCAGCCACAACTAATTAACTCAGGGATAAAACGATCATTTATATTCAATTTCTGAAACGTCAAGTGGCAAAAATAAGAACTAATTTAATAACACATTATTGACAGTAACGTCCTCCTGTGAATGTCATGTGTGACACTACGCGCTCCTGCACACGACATATCGTCATATCTGGGACACTTTAATGAAAATCAATTTTTTTTTTATTTGTCCTTTAATAAAAAAATTAGCCTTTTTGTCTTTTCAATCTAACTACAATCAATCTTAACACTTCACGCTAAAGCCGAATTCCTTTTTCCAGGAAAGACGAGGCCGTCAACCGTCCCAAGCTGGAATTCGTGCCGAAGACACTCGCAGACCTCCACATCGAGGGCATCCACGACCTGACCAATGGTAGGCGGTACGGTTCCACCCAAAGTCTGTCCCGTCCCCGCCACCACCTCCCCCCTTCGTCCTCCGTCGGTGACCTCAGCTGCGACCCGCTTCGGGCTTGGGAAATGCCGACGCCGCCGAGACAAGCGCAGGCCTTCAGGCCGCATCCAGCGCCGAGGAATGTGAACGGACGCGACCCGTGGACAGGTGACTTCGGTTTTGTTTGCTGGTTTATTTTGTTGTTTTGGTCGGGAATTGCACTGCTAAATTGGGAGTGGGTTGGGTGTGGATAAAGATGGTTATAAAACTTTATTCTCTTATGTGAGAAGATAAGGAAATAAAAATAAGGTACAGTTTTGCAAAAATATTTACTATAAATACAGGCTATTCTTTAGTTGGAAACCTGTGGACAATAAATACTCTCGATGTTATACATCAAGGTTCATATAGATTTCTTAGCCTTTTTTTAATTTTATCGTTTAAATCTAAAATTAATGATACAATCTATTATTATATTTTTTTATTCAATATGGAACTAAAGTTTAATTCATTATGTTGTTACTTTCCGACACTATAGCGAACTTTAAATTATAACCGAATGTGCAATTTGTGATCAAAACTATTTTATGTTTATCACTCACTCATCATTCGGGCACGGCACGCTTCACACTGGTGACGGCGGTGGTGGGGTCACAACACTTTCTGTGCTTTTACACTCTTGGGGCAAGGAGTTTGGATGCGGTGGAGTTTGGGTAAAGCGGGGCTACTTTGCACCCCTTTTTACGTATCTTTTCGAATCTATCCATCCTTCTCTCTCATAGCAGGACACTAGCATGATAGATCGAAAATGTGAAAACGAGGCTACAAAGTAGACCCCCGCAGGTGTTTGTTTACAATCTCAATCAATACTGTCTATAATATATTCATAATACATTATTTTACTCTTAAATCTTACATTCACATTTCTAAACTACGGAATTCTATGTCTTCCTGTAAATAACACATATGGATAGATACACAATATACTCGGGTTTAGGTACATAATATCGGTGAAAAAGTCGGTACACATGATACATTTTTATTTTATTTTTAAGCTTCTTAAATTGTATTTAATATAGTGATATAATGTGTGCACTAAAACGAGGCGAGGTCCAATTTTGTACAGTAATTATCAGATTCTTTTTCAGGTTGCCAAGATATCCCTTCCTTTCCCAATCCCATCCTCTTTAATGACAATATTTATAGCTATGTGTATTTTCTGACATGCAAAGATACCTTGACGTGACAAAAATTATATTCTCTTAGGCTTAATTTCATTATAATATTGTCCAGTTCAGATAAAATACTTGATAAGATTCAAACTTGTAAAAAAGAAGTCATGGCAGGTTATCTTTGCTTACATAAATGTGTTATCTTGATTTTCGTCAATTGTGGAATTAATTTATTTGTATTCTGACTTCCTGTTAAATTCTTAAATGTTGATCAACAATTGATGGTAGATATTGTATCATAAATTCGCATAGATTATTTAAATGGTAAACAATGTTAATGGTTGAAGTCTGCAGTTAATAGTAATTATACCCCATTTAATGCTAATTTCATACAATGTCTACCATCGTCTGTCGAATACGTGTATTGTATAATTAATTTGTAACGACAGTTTAATTGGTGTTCTTAATACTTTCTCGTATCTTTGAGTGAGTAGAAAGTACACTTCTGGATGTTCCTATCTCTCTCTAATAATGACATGACAGAAAAACTTGATTTACATAGGGCACATGATTTTAATGTAGGCAATATTATACTGAACTGAAATAATGAATTATAGTACTGTCTTAAAAACAAGATACAGTACTGTAGAACTGCTAAAATTTCACTTATTCACAAAATAGCACAATACAATGTAATTGGAATTTGAAAGTTCTTTATTAAATATCGGCACGATTATTATCTTGTTGAGATAATTATTTTGTTTAATCGTTCACGCTGGGGTCTTGGTTATCAAATGACTGAACCAAATTCAGAAACGTCATTAGTGATGTTTGTAAAAGGGGATAACAAAAACCAATCTCATTGATGACATAATCCCGAAAAAACAAACGAAAGTGTACAATCAAAACGCGTAGTAGTTTGCGTAGCTATACAAAGTACGGTACACTCAGTTGTGGTGTTTATTTACTTACCAAGAAGGGGGCTCGCACGCCGGCACGCCGGAGCACAAGCCGCCTTCGAACCTCGAGCTGTTCCCCGGCTCGGGATCCGGGTCCATGCAGCGGTCCAACAACGGTAACACCACACGACACTAGCGCTCACTGTTGATTTATTTATACCTGATTGAACCGACACTTTTTTTATACCTAGTTGAACCGACACACAATTTATTTAGTTGACCTAAAGACTCACTCACGAACTTAAGATTCACTTGGGGATTAAATCAAAGACAGTGTTATGAAACGATATTCAAAACTCAACTAAAATTTAAGCTCAACTAAAATTTAAGCTCAAATATGGAGTCAACCAATCGTAGCACAGATTCTGAGCTTGAGTTTGAGTTTTGAGTGTTGTGAAAACAGCTTAGAGCTGTTACAAATGTATTGGGATAAATTAAATTCGTTTAATATGTTACGGACACAAGATCTGTCTACGTTGTTTTATGCACAGTTGTTATTTAACATTTATGAAACAATGGTTTAACACACACACACACATTTTCTGTCTCTTTCAGTCGTTTCTTAGTACTAACAAGTAAACACACTGAATTACTGTGCATTCTAGTGAGACTTACAAAATAAGTCTACGTATAACAGCTTTCAATACAACCATGATTTGATAAATATATTTATTTATTTATATTCATATCATATTTGTTGTACTTACTGGTCACATTACAAACACCTACATAATATTAACACATTTCATTACACATACATTGTAGAAGTTTCCAGACTTTCCTTGAGTTTTTGTGTGTTTTTTGAGTTTAGTTTTATGACTTGGTAGTGTTTTGTCATTTCGTTTCGTCAGTGATTTAAATCCATGGTGTTATAGTAGGTTACTAGACGCACCATATTATTCGTCGAATGGTCACTTATATCGCATGTCAATGTTGTAAAAGAAACCGTGTGTCGTTTATGTTGTCTTCATCTAGCTTAGCATGTGGCGTATCATTTTACCAGCTTTTACGTCAGTTACACTCAGTTTTGTGGTCAATATCACGACATTCGTAAATCAGTATCGTTTTAAATATCACTAGTTGGGTTGTGAAAGTTCTTTAACTCTTACTCTCTACCTGACTTGCTAATAAATCTAAATAACTAAAAATATCATTCATCTAGGAATATATTAGCTAAAATTCAATTAAACAATTTCAATATTAACTATTCATATTCGTAACAAAGCTTTCATAATCCAAGGAACATTCATTCTGTAGTAACCATCTTAAACGGAAATTTTAGTTGACTTATCAATATCGCAGTTAGCCATCTAGTTAAAATAATACAATTAGAATATTTGACCTCTTAAAATGACAATATTTAATTATTGCTGCACGCTATTACGGCGCACGCGCACTGGTGACTTTTGTTACCGTGACAGTATATCTATCTTTTTATCTTTAAAAAACAAGTCACCAGTGAGCGCGCACCTTTGCTCAATCAATATCATAAAAAAAGTCGTAATGTCAACTATAATTTCCCAACCATTTATCTAAACATCAATGCCACAAGTTCGGAATATTAACCCGTAAGCGTCCACAGCTTCGCCGCTGCCGTCGCCGGTTAAGTCGCCTGCGCGGACGCCCGTCGCGCCCGCCAAGGGCCCGTGTTGCACTGCACTGTACGACTTCGACCCGGAGAACCAGGGCGAGCTGGGATTCAAGGTGCGTTGGTATAAAATTACAATACATGAGCATGTTGAAGATTTAAGAGTCAAGCTTCTTCTTCCTCGGTCCCTCATTGATGAGGATCGTAACCACATTATAGTGATTCTCTACAGTCAGAGTCAAATTTAAATGGAATGAAAATGTCAATGTTGGTTTTCAAACAAAGAATAACCCTAATGGGAGGCTCGAGGAGGAGGAAGAGTGGGAAGCTTGAAATATACGCAAGTATGACGTATGCTTAGGCCGCTTTCTGACTTTTCGGCGCGGCAGCGGCACGAGATCGGCATACGCGGTACCGAAAGCTTATATTTCAATGGCGCGTTCCTGATTGGCGCGGCACAGACTCAATCAGGAACGCTCCATTGAAATATAGGCGCTCGGGCAAGCTTCATAGAGTATATTTTAGTTAGTTTGAGCATGAGTTCACGACATAAATAGCTTCTGGAGTTGATCTTAGGCTGAATGATATAGCACCTCTAGTGTAATAACTTCTAATGTTTCTATTCTTAATTTCCAGGAGAACGACGTGATCACGCTGATCAACAAAGTGGACGAGAACTGGTTCGAAGGCAGCCTCAACGGCAAGCAGGGATACTTTCCCATAAGCTACGTGCAGGTCACCGTGCCCCTGCCCAACATGTAAGCACGTATTCACTCGTCGCCCCATATGTAAGCTAGCACTCTTGTTATGGAGTATCTGAGAGTGGAATAACAAATAGTCAAACAATTCTGATTCAAGTGGCACAAATTGGAACTAATAACCAAGTCTTGATACTCTTGATAGTAGCGCCCTTTGTTGGACAACTAGAATGCCCTATTGACAGCTCATTCGAAGTTTTCAGTAAGCGCTTATAAGCAAAATGGCGATCGCTAAGTGGCGAAAAAACGCAACTTTATTACCATCAACCATAAGAAGAAGTTAGCAAGTGTTCTCGCCAGAAACAGCCGAATAATCGCCATTTTGCTTATAATTTCCATTTTACGCCAGACGCACCCAATATCTCACGCACAGATTATCCTGGGTAATATTATGTGATCACACGCAATACAGGTGAATTGCATTGGATGATGAAAGAAAAGATGTTTGTAATGTATCACAGACAATGTTCACCCTGTATACTTCGAACTACTCCGAAGTTTTTACGCAAGCTTGCTGTCGAACGATACTTGATTGACACCTTTATTTACGCAGAGTTACCTCTGCAAGGCTAGTCCGAAACGCTGTTTACGTAGTTTCGGTTCTAACTGTCATTGTCGCTCATGCTGGTATCTCGCTTTGCGTGAGAAGGATGGCAACATTCGAAACTTCGGATGACGTTTTTTCGGAGAAACGCCGCTAGTATGCGAGGGGTTAATGATTGCAAAATATTGGTTGGAAATGTTGATGTTATATTGAGATAACTATCATAGAGTTTTATGAAATGGGTACTAAGTTAAGTAAAGACCTAAAGCAACGGCCATATTTAAATATACAAATGGCAGCTCACACACCATCTAGTCATGTCACCGACTAATATTTACCTAATATCATCTCAGAATACTTCCTAAAAAGAGTGTTGCGCAGTTGTTATTATGTCACGTTACACAGTATTATGTAGTAGAACATATTATTTTATTGAATCTAGTACTACGTCAGAAGCTCAACAGCGTAATATTATTGAGTAACCTTGTCCATACGTGATGGTATTCTAAAAACGGTCTCATATTTGTTAAACTTTTCATGATTCTGTTATACTGTTCTTCTCGTCTTCCTGTTAATTTTCAAAGAATACCCTTGCTGTATCAAACGCGATGATACCCAGGTCTCCTAATGTTATACACTTTCTTCTTAAATAGACTAAAATTGTAAGTACCAAATCAATTCCTTAGATTTTAACGTGCATAGCTGGTTTAAATAATATTAGTTGTCTGAGTTAGATAAATATTACATAAATGAATCATTTGAATGATTGGGAGATTGTTCGGGTACATGTGAGTTTGTTATTGCGAATATTTTTTATTCATAAATGCATTAGTTTAATTTGTCTCATGTTGCATTTACGGCCAAACTAAGAATACCTTTACTGTAGTTAATGATTTAATTATATTAGTATGACTTTAGCGTTATATTGTAGCGTATTATTTTTATATTAATTAAATTATTTTATGACAAATGAACTTTCAAATGAGTTAATCGTTATCTCTGAATATGAAGCCATAATATCGCGATTATTAAGACATTCCGGCAAAGAAAGCTAAATTAGGTGTAATATTGAGTTAACCTCGTACCTGCCATCGTACAGCCGTGTTCACGGGCATTACTCCGTAACGTGATTTCTATATTTGCGGCTCTTTCGCTCATGACGTTATCTCGGATGTGCGAGAAAGACGTATAGACCCAAAAATGTAGTCGTTAAAGAGTAATCCCGCAGAGTGCGTGGACTCCCAATCAGCAAGACGGTTCAAAACCGGCGCTGAGTTTGTTGGAGCCACTGCACAGCTTTCCCGATTGCCTCGTTAGCTCACAACAAGCGTCGGAGGCTCGTTGCCTCAACTAGGCAGCGTCAATTCAGAAAAGTGATATTTTAAAATAAAACTTTGTAAATTAGTTAAATTAATATTACTTATTGTGAATCTATTTTTGTAGATGCGCTATCAACTTTGTAAGTATTTTCCTCCTCCGAATGATATGAGTTTTACATATTATTGTTATTTCCCATCACACTCCTAAAGCACAGGACATGTTAGGATGTATTAATGTATAACTAGTTATTAAAATGAGAATAGATTTTATAGTAATATCTTTGCGGGTATTTATTTATCTAAATGGAGAATGTATACAATGTAACGTATAATATACATGTAATAAAGTGACGAAAAGAAAAATATGTTGTTAAATCTTGCCAGAAATTCATGGCGTTTCGATGTTTGATGTATTATTATTGGCAAACTATAATAATTACATATTATAATGTCATTGTGATAACATTAGAATATCATACTGTTTTTGCAGTATCTTACCATGTATTTAAATTAAGTTTACTTTTATTTTTTTACCCAGTAACTTGTATATTTTAATTTTTAGCATAATATTGTTTTCTTTAGTCATCATTCACAGCTATCTACTTTTAATACATTTAAAGCATAATTATTAATACCAAAAAATAAATTAGCAATTTTACTACAAGGCCTCTATTCAATAGCATTGTTAAATGTCTTTTATGCACTTACGAGCTAAGATCTTAAATCGTCTTAAATCACTATAATCCTAAATGGATCTTGCAGTAATATTGAACGTAAAATATAAAATAATCATCGCCTCATTATAATAATTGTCGTATAAATAATCGGACCCCATTAATTCACATTTCTGGCATACAAAAGACAATACCTAGATCTAATGTTAGTCGTATGTAAGTTCATAAATAATTGTTCTATCTTCAAGTGTCTCTTAATGTAAGTATTTTGAGTAAATAATACATTCATCAGTGTAATGAAAACATGTTTCGATGTATTGATGTGCGATGCTGCGACACATTTGCATAGTGTTGTGTCGAGGCATCATTCTACTATTCCCTCAACAATACCTACAATTTAATCGGACTTGAACAACCTGTCTTGCACGTGCAGAAGGTATAGAGACTGTTGTTATATTTAAAATGTTCTATCGTATGGTAAAAGTTGGATGTAACTTTGACAAGTGAAGAGGACCTATTTTATAGTCGCCGTTTGGTGTGTTGAATCAATGTTGCTTTACAACGTGCGTAATATAGTATGCAGAGCCGAAGGTAGTTGGTGATGTTTGCTGTTTGGTAATTAAGTCAATTTGGCAATGCATTGAGAGGTTTTGCTCTAAAAGTCTAGTCTGTACAGCGTAATTGTTGAACAGTTGTATGTATATTTACTAATGCATACCATCCTTGAAACAGCAAGCATTATCTTACTGAATGGGGCATGCTTCTTCGTTGTCCCATGTCGAATGCCCGCGGCTCCCGATAATATTGCTATTGGTGCGAACACGTGTGTAATGGTGTAATATTATTCTTGTTCATGTTACTGTAATCTTTAAATACTGTAATTTCATAGATAAACTTGACGATTTACGAGATGTAATACAAATATTATTGATTTGTATTAAAATTTATCCCGAAACTTATTGCTCGTTTTCGCCTCCTAATAAAATGTTAACAATTTAACACTATCGTTGTTGTTTTATTTCAAATTCCTTTTAATACTACGTCGTCCTTGTGCAAACGTTGTTAATATCCATCTGCTTTAATGCTTGGCCATCTTATTTAAGTGTCTATAGTGGCGATGGCGGCCCGCATGTCGGCTTATTCCACTATTCCCCGTTGATAATCCCCGTCAACGGGGATAAGTGAATTTTTGTTCACTATTCCCCGTAAACGCTAATTGGAGCTTATAATGGGGATTAATGAACTAAAAAGTTCATTAATCCCCGTTTAATATTCCACTATGGACACCCGAATAAGATTTTCTTATGTTGAGTACACAGCGCCGCGCCCGCGTATGCAGCCAGACTGTAGCCAAGTACCTACTTAGGAGCCATACCAGCCATACTTATGCCTGTTTTCACCATCAATCCCTAATTTTTAAGTGACCCCTATGAAAACAAAATTCCTGTTATGTGTTACCACAGGGGTCACTTAAAAGTTTGGGATTGATGATGAAAACGGGCATGACTTTTTTCTTTATTTTGTTAAAAATAAGGTTGTTAGGCTTATTAGAGCAAAGTGTTTTAACTTTTTAAGACACATTCTCGTAACTCCGGGTAAGTAGACCGTGAAGAAGTGCGGAAGTCCAGTCCACGGCTAAGTACTATCTAGTATTATATTATCTGTGGTACTATTTAAAAAGACAAAGTTAGCTAGGCAAGTTCTAGATAATTACTTCGTATAAGAATTTACACAACTCATATTGATAGTTTTTAGGGGGCGTCCATAAATTACGTGAGGCTTTTAGGGGGGGGGAGGGGGTCAACAAAAACCTCACCAAATCTCACGTGGGGGAGAGGGGGGGTCTCGGGAAATATCACGTATTTTTTTCCATAAGAAATAGAGAAATAGAGTTTGCCAGAAAACTGGGTTAAATCTTAAGTAAAAAAATTGGCCAAGTGCGTGTCGTGCCACGCGCAGTGTAGGTTTCCGTAGTTGTCCGTCGTTATCACAATATATTTCAGAAGTAAGCAATTACTTCATCTAAAGTCACTTTTAATATTTTCTTCTAAGGAATTTTTATTAGGTATGAAATTTTATAATACATGAGTAAAACGACTATTAGTCTTGAACTAACTGATCTATCTTAACCGCTATAGTTTTCCTTGAAAGTTCATTAAAAGCACTATAATCTTGAATTTTTCCAGATTTATCAAGCCAACAGTTTAGTTTTTAGCGGGGGGGACGCCCTACTCGGACAAAAATTTGCACTTTAAACTTTAATATTTTGCAAACGGATCCCTAAATCGAAAAATGGTCTTAGAAAACCCNTCTGTCTGTCTTTCTGTCTGTCTGTCTGTCTGTCTGTCTGTCTGTATGTTCCTTATAGAAACAAAAACTACTCGACGGATTTTAACGAAACTTGGTACAATTATTCTTCATACTCCTGGGCAGGTTATAGTATACTTAGGAATTCCCACGGGAACGGGAATTAGCGGGAAAACCCTTTCGTATGAAAAATCTAAACCGCTTAAGTTAGACGCTTGAAATTTGGCATGTAGGTACCTTAATAAACTTAAAGCTTAGTTACAACAAGGAGTTCCCGAAATTCCCACGGGAACAGGAATTAGCGGGAAAATCCTTTTGTATGAAAAATCTAAACCGCTTAAGTTAGACGCTTGAAATTTGGCATGCAGGTACCTTAGTAAACTTAAAGTTACAACAGAATATTGCAAAATTCCCACGGGAACGGGAGTTGGCGGGAAAAAACATTTGTATGTAAAAATCTAAACCGCGTAAGATAGATGAAGGGGGTAAACCGGGATCCACGCGTACGAAGTCGCGGGCGGCCGCTAGTAAAACTAAAAATGCTTCCGTCTGCATGTGTGAATACTAAAATGCAGAATAAATGACGAAATTAAGAAAATTATAAAACAAGTTCTTTTTTATCAAAATCTATTTTGCTACATTATTAGTGATTTTGTAGAAAGGAACAATTAGACTAGGTACTTCTGTAAAAAAACAATGTGACCCTAGTACTAACACTACACGTGTTTTTCTGGATCTATTCGTAATCAATGGGCTTAGTGCGACTTTACACAATCGTCATCCGCTAGCGACTGCGTAAAAAATTACATACATTAAATGTATGATGATTACAGCGTCCCTAGCAAATACTTTCAAGAACTAAAATCTTTAACTTTATAGATCTTTTTGATGCACTCGTTAGCGACAACGTTAAAGCACACAAAAAAAATGTTTCTCAGTTATATTACTCCAAAATTATTAAATTTCGGATTTTTTTAATATCACGTGAGATTTGGGGGTGGGGGAGGGGGTCAGGCAAAATCTCACCAAATCTCACCAAGCGGGGCGGGGGGGTTGAAAAATAGCCAAAATTGTCTCACGTAATTTATGGACGCCCCCTTACTCCTGACCCACTCTTGCTGACGACGAATCTCGGTCGTGTAAATCAATATCTTTGACACGCCACACTGCAACACATACGTTGGTAATGATGTGTGGCACTTTGGTCCTTCTTACGAGAGAAAAAATAAGCACGCTCAAGCTCGAAAAATCCTCAATCAGCAACCTTGGAAAATATAAGGGCATGCTCTGATTCAACGCAGTTTTAAAGTTCATGGCCCTCGAAGTTATCTCGTCACTACTTATGCAATCGTAGAGTTGCAACGCCCAGCGGCCCACCGCGGCACCGCACCGCAAGCACCTGAACGACGCGACGGCATCCAATGATCCAAGCTGTGCACTGCTGTGTGCAGTGAGTCTTAGGCCCGGCTTTTTCCACCAAAGCTGAGACGAGAGATGTGTTTTGCTTTTGAATAACTGATCTCAGAGATTTCCGACCGAGCCGGAGAATAGATGATAAAAAGGAAATATAGGTACTGATTTGGTTATCATCATTCATCATAGGTTATACAAAAACACCTCTCTCTGCGTGCTAGTGTGGGAGCCGGGCCTTATATGGCAGCTCTCGTCTTGCTTAGGCCCAGAGGCCCGTGCGTTGTCCATGGTCCTACCAAAAGTTCTATAGAAAAAATATGGGGTTTTATACGATTTTGTACCACCAAACTAAAATTTTCCGTTCTACCAGTGTACCAAAGCAGTAGTAGGACCATGGGCAATGGATGAGTCAAACATGAAAGGGATAAAAAATAACACATATTCAAGCTTCTAATCAAGTTTCATTTATTGGTTGCAATTTAAATGGAATGATTACATTGAGAAGTCAGATAACACAGAAAAGTAGACAGAAATACAGTAATACTGAAGAAATTGTTATTGGCGTAATTTAATTGCCACCACGCAGACGCAATACAAGGTGAAGGGTGGACTCTTTCTGGATGTTATAGTCGGAGAGGGTGCGGCCATCTTCCAACTGCTTGCCGGCGAAGATAAGTCGCTGCTGGTCTGGGGGGATTCCCTCCTTGTCTTGGATCTTGGCCTTCACATTCTCAATGGTGTCAGATGGCTCAACCTCAAGGGTGATGGTCTTGCCTGTGAGGGTTTTCACGAAGATCTGCATACCACCGCGCAGACGGAGCACCAGATGAAGGGTGGACTCTTTCTGGATATTGTAATCGGACAAGGTGCGGCCATCCTCAAGCTGCTTGCCGGCGAAGATGAGTCGCTGCTGGTCTGGGGGGATTCCCTCCTTGTCTTGGATCTTGGCCTTCACATTCTCAATGGTGTCAGATGGCTCAACCTCAAGGGTGATTATTTTGAAGTTATAATAGCGTAGTTATGTTTGACTAACAATAAATGAAAGCAAAAGACTGGCAAATTAGATAAGGTACAAGTGTGCGTTACGATAATTGGAATTAATATCGATTGTCTATGTTATTAACTACTGTTCCTTTTCGTTTCCTAATTTGTTAAGAATGTATCGTATAATATTTTGCCATAGTTTTTTTATAGGCTTGAAATTTATTGAAATTCAATTTAGAAACCCTGTGGTACAAATTATCCAACCGGTTGGCTAAATTGGACCGAAGATCTGAACTCGTACTTTGTTGATTTGTGCTAATTATACAACAATCATGTTAATTAATACTTATGAAATAGTAAGTTAAATAATGTATCTTTTATTATATACCATGGACATTAGCAAAAACAAAAGAATACTATGTGTAAAATGGGATTGAAAAAAACTGGTCCAAATTAGCGGACTCTCCCTTATATTGCGACCTCTTGATTTTTCTGGATAAGAATACCAAAAGGCACGGTAGGTACGGACATTTATATTGACCCAAACTTTCATTCACATAATATAAATAGGATACTTTCATCTGATTTCAATTCCATATTTTAGTCGTAAATTCATACCTTAAGTCGGGTGTAAACCTCGATTCATTCAACTTTGACGGTGGAGCGAAGATGTAATATCACGCTATAATGAGATTCAGCGTTATTGTCCAAGCATTCTACTTCAATAGTCCTTTGTGTCTCGGAAATGAAAAATATTTGAGAAATTTCCAAACCCATTCAATTGCCAATTTTCTTTTATGACCTTAGAACATTTACATTTCTTTAATCTACTTCTTATCAACGTGATTATTCTGTTGTACTATCAAGAGTTTGGTTTTTTAAGATTGAGATTGAATGTAACTATGTTCATATAACGGCTTGGAAAATATCCAGATAAGTTGCTGATTGTAAAGACGACTCGCTAATCATATTGGAAAAACGTCCAGTTTCTCTCCAACAACCTTGAGTCCTATTACGCCGGACCTCTGGAATCGTCCGTTTTAGCAACAAACATACTTACAGTTCTAAATTAATGGCATTGACGTTTCCTTTTCATCAATCTAAATGGATCTCAGGCGCAAAACAGAAATGAATCTTATTTCTAATTGGGTACTATACGAATTCGCTTGAAGCTTTTCGCGAGGCTTTAGGGGGTTCTTACTATGTTGTGATAAGGTCTTGAATCGCTCTTACCTCTCCGAATTCGGTGAGTCCGTTTGCGGCTGGAGGTTCGTTGGATGAATCAGCCCTAGGAACAAACGCAACAATACAAATAAATGGTGCGACAAAAGAAAATGGAAGAAAGACAAAACATGTGCACTCGCAGTCTTTTGTTCGCAGCTAGAGCGTTCGCGGAGACCGCCCAGTAGCCTGGGGTTCCGTACACAAACATTTATAAATAGCTACTCATATATTTTTTTTATCCCTACTGCTACTGAATTACCATGGCTTAAACTGGATATTTTAACAGTAAAAATGTAGGTGCAAAAGTTGGTAATAACATTTATATTGTGTCAGAACTTTGCAGTGTTCGCTCCGACACAGGATTTTTAATATATTTTAATTCGACCAGCAAATGAAAATTGTGTAATTTTTTTAACCTCACCAGTTCACCACCATTGTTTGCCGAAAATTATTTGTTTGACGTAATTCCGACATGTATTGTTCAGTCATTACTCGTATTAGTTTTGATTATATTAAATTTAAGAAAATTACCAAAGTACAGTAAAAAATAATCTGTGTGCTTACCATGAGTTTACGTTACGTGTGCTCGCTAGCGACTGCGTAAAAAAATGACACCTAATTGTATGACATATTGTGCAGCGCCCCTAGCGGCTACTTTCAAGAAACAAAATCTCCATAGAGATTTTTGACGTTTTCGCTAGCGAGCACACCTAACGTAAACTCATGGTAGGTACACTGACTATGTTACATCCTACTAATATTATAAAGGCGAAAGTTTGTAATAAATAAAGTTTATTTCAAAAAGTTTGCTAACGAATTGCTGATATTCACTCATAAGAGTTTAGAATGTAATTAAGACAAAAATAAAAAAGAGTTCCAAGTAGTGATTAGCTATTTAGTTAATAATTCATTGAGTATTGGTAGATTGTGATCAATTCTGTTAAAAAAATAGAACGAATAAATTATCGTCTATATGAATACTTAACATGTAATAAAACGTACCTATGTTTTAACGGCTACTACTTTTATTAAATGAATTCGTGCCGTGCGTCTAATATTTTAGGATTAATTAGGTTGTTGTACAATATGTAACGTGTTTTACACTTGACTCAGTTTTTTACATCCTGTATTTAATGCCTTAGAGCCAACGAAAACGTACTCATAGAGGTCGGGCGGGCTCCACGATAACTGATTCGATCAATACATTATAAATATTCAGCGATTTGGATTCCATCCCCAAATCTGAGGGTGGTTGAACGGTGGTTGTTAGAGCACGACTTTTAGATTGAATTTGATAAGTGTAATTGAAAAGCTTCGTCATCATCCATTGCTACTCGTATAGGATGAAAAATAAATTTTCTTTATATCCTTCTCGTGTACGGAAAAATTAGGTATACATCTATCATCTTCTATGGGTCTTAACTAGGGCATGAATATCGGAATCTCGGAATCTCGTAATATCGGAATCTCGGACTGCGAGATCCGATATTTCAATTCCGATATTGAGCGATCCAATATCGTAATATCGGAATCAGATAAAAGTTTTAATTCAGATTTTAAACAAAGCGTTTAAACTCACCAAAACGTGCCACAAAGCCCAAAGTACATGATTGGCAAAGACCAATGATTTTCTCCAGTCTCTCACCATCACTATTTATGGTTAATTGAACTTGTTCTAAATCGATTTTAGCATTTGCCATAGGTCCTTGGTTTTTTTTTATGTGACAGGAGGCAAACGAGCAGACGGATCACCTGATGGTAAGTGATTATTGGTCAACAAAGAAAGACATCTCAACTCCCTTTCAAACATTAATTTTACTGGACTATGGACCGTCAGTTCTGCGTACTATGTGCCCTGCCCACTACCACTTCAACTTGCTAATCCGTCGGGCTATATCAGCGACTTTGGTTAGTTTACGGAGCTCCTCATTTCTGATTAGATCTCGTAAAGAAACACCAAACTTATCCCTCTCCATAGCACGCTGTGTCATAAATTCAAAGGCCACGTTTTCGAGCCGTATATCATCACTGGTAACACACACTAATTGAAGACTCTCATCTTCGTATTCGACGATTTATCTCTTTTTCGAAATTGCATCTAACTACCTAGCTAATCGTTTGTCCGAGATAGATATACTTACTTGTCAACAATCTCGAGAATTGAGCTCCTAACCGAAACAGAGTAAGGGGCAACATGGACATTCGACATAAGCTTCGTTTTTTCCATATTCATCCGAAGGCCTACCTGTTGGGAAACTCGATTAAGGTCTTCGAGCATTGTGATAATGTCTTCCAACGGTTCTGCCTTAGTACGCCAAACAGACGGACGATGAGGCAGCAAAATTCTGAAGTGGAGGCCACGTACCGGAAAGCGCAGCGTAGGACTCATAACCACAAGGTGGACTGACGACCTCATAAAGGTAGCAGGAAGGCGCTAGATGTAGGCCGCCACCAACCAGCCATTGTGAAAATCAGCATCGGAGCCTGTGTTCAGCAGTGGACGTCCTATGGCTGATATGATGATGATGATGATGGCTCGTGGTTTTGTGAGTTGTACATCGATAATGAAAAAGGAACAAATAATAACAAGCATATTCAAGTTTTTTACCACTCTCTAAAATTTTTGTAACACGTGATTTGAATGACTCTAAAATTCATTCCTCCAACATAAAACAGGGTAATATAATGAAGGAGTAAAAGTTTGTTTAATACCTGTGATTTTACAAAAACACTTTAATTATTTGCTAGGTCCGTCTGCTCGTTTGCCTCTTGTCACATAAAAAACCAAATGCAATGGATACCCATAACGTAAAAATTGTTTTGAAATACTTCAATTTTATGAAGTGCTGTTTTGTACCAAATTATAGATTTTGATTAAAATCATTATTTTATTGTAAACAATCCAGAATTCTTACGAATTTAACCAAATATTAATTTTATAGCGCATGAACTCAATTCCGATATTAATATCGGAATTCCGATATTAAGATCTAATATCGGAATCCAATATCGGAATTGAAAACCTTCCGATATTACATGCCCTAGTCTTAACGTTTTAGGGACGACGGATCAACGTGCCTTCTAAAGCAGACTAAAGCAGGGTTTGTTGTTTGAAACTGGTTATTGTGTTACTAGTAGGATAAAAAATCAATTTTCTTCATAACCGCCTTGTGTACGGAAAAAATAGGTATACATCTAACATATTTTTCTATGGGTCTTAATGTTTTAGGGACGACGGATCAACGTGCCTTCTAAAGCAGCGTTTGTTGTTTAAAACTGGTAATGGATAGTACCTAAGCACAATTTATTTAGATTTTCCATCTGTCAGCCTGTAGAGAGANGTGTCAGATGGCTCAACCTCAAGTGTGATAGTCTTGCCTGTGAGAGTCTTGACGAAGATCTGCATACCACCGCGCAGACGGAGTACCAGATGGAGGGTGGACTCTTTCTGGATGTTATAGTCAGATAAGGTGCGGCCATCTTCCAACTGCTTGCCGGCGAAGATGAGACGCTGCTGGTCTGGGGGGATTCCCTCCTTGTCTTGAATCTTGGCCTTCACATTCTCAATGGTGTCAGAAGGCTCAACCTCGAGGGTGATGGTCTTGCCTGTGAGAGTTTTGACGAAGATCTGCATTCCACCGCGTAGACGCAATACCAGATGTAGGGTGGACTCTTTCTGGATATTGTAATCGGACAAGGTGCGGCCATCCTCAAGCTGCTTGCCGGCAAAGATGAGTCGCTGCTGGTCTGGGGGGATTCCCTCTTTGTCTTGAATTTTAGCCTTCACATTTTCAATGGTGTCAGATGGCTCAACCTCGAGGGTGATGGTTTTGCCTGTGAGAGTCTTGACGAAGATCTGCATACCACCACGCAGACGGAGTACCAGATGCAGGGTGGATTCTTTTTGAATATTGTAGTCGGATAGGGTGCGGCCATCCTCAAGTTGCTTACCAGCGAAGATCAGACGCTGCTGATCTGGGGGAATACCTTCTTTGTCTTGGATCTTAGCTTTTACATTTTCGATGGTGTCCGAAGGTTCTACCTCCAAAGTTATGGTTTTACCAGTCAGTGTTTTGACGAAAATCTGCATATTGATATCTGAAACAATGAAATTAACTTTTAGGACAAAGGTAACTGCAAATTTGATGGAATGCGTTGTTCTGCGTAGGTACGAAGTATTGATTTGAAAGACAAAGAAAGAACAAAGAAAGTTCTCGAACACAAAATGGCGTCGGGCAATCTGATTTTGTGTCAACCCATTTTATAGATTTTGACTGTAAATTCGAAAGATTGAAATAATTAATTAAAAATCTACTTACTATTTTAGTCCTTAGTAGTAATTAACGAAATTATACAGCTTACAATGTAAAAATAAAACAAGACCAAATTCACAACACAATAATTGCGATTCACACGAAATATTTATTTGACAAGTTTTCGAGAAACGTCATGGTATTTATACCCTTATTTTTTAATCTGGTAACTCACGAAATCAGTTTAGCCAACCTAAAACCAGATTTAATAATATAAATACCGTTATTACATTATGAAATAAAAAATATTCCTAGTTTCCAATAAGGAATTTTATTATGCTTTTGTAGTTTTTAGTAACAGAAAATTATTTTTGTACAATTGTAAATGTACCTATTATTGGAGATACTTAGTAAATGTAAGGATAGATCACGCACGTAGGTTTTCATTGATCGGGTGGATTTTCATAGATCGGAACGGAATGTTGGTCACTATTCCGAAGGCAAGGGCTGCCCGCATGAAAATGGTACCTCCCATGCGGGACCTACGGCATGAGTTTCAAAAATCTATCGCGGGCTAATGCGGGCGCTAACGGCTAATGAAAATACCCCTCAACTCACACTATTCAAAATTGTTATTTGAACACAGAACATTCAAATCAGACAACGCATGAATAAGTATAATTGCTTGTGTTGATCGCATCAACTCTTGCTGAATTTGTAGAGGCCTCTTCAAGGCGAGAGTGAATAGGCACTTACAGTTTACAGTACAGGGCAGATATGCCCACTTAACATCAGGTGAGATTGTGGTCAAATACCTGCCTTGCTATGCATAAATAAAAAAAGAAGTTTTCTTTTGAGGCTCCATTTTCTCAAACAAAGAACTATCGCTGTCATAAATTTCATTTCAATCGGTTTCGTGGTTTACGCGTGTATATGAAAGTTATTTTCACGTAAAGTACGGATTAAAACATACCGCTACTACAATATTAAAATAAAAAAGTTTATGAGCATTTTTGTTACTCTTTCATGCAAAAAATACTGAACAGATTCTTATGAAACTTTACAGTTTTATTGTTTGTTTAGAAATTTTAAGTTTATTACTATAAATTATAAATATCTGAGACCAACTGAATTAAACGCGCTAACAAAAGCTAGTGATTAATTATCCTTTTATCAAATGATCTGAATAAGTGAATAACGTTATGTACCAATACCGTTATAAAAATAATGAAGTAAAGTTCATACCAACATTCAGAATAGAATATATTTATTTTTGTTTGCAACATTGTATCAAACTGTCAGAAACTTTTTTTCGGGGGCGTATCAAAATCGGAATGAATGAAGTGAATCAACAAATTTCATGATTTTCTGCCTGAAATTGTGTTTGAAGAAACTCTAATAAAGAAATGTCGTAGAGGGATTGGACATCTATTTCTGTTTATAAGTTTTTGTAGTCATTTCTGTGTTAACATCACCAAAATAAAAGATTACTGTAAACATCGGAACATACGACATTGGAGCATTTTTGTATAGGACTTGAGGAATTAGTTTGTTCTTTGTAGTTTAGGATGCAGTTTTCATCCCCAGCTATCTCTGAACTATGACTCATAGATGTGCTTTGTATTTAAACAAGTGAAGTGATATCTTGTAGCCTGAGGTGTGAAATAGTTTTAAAATGGCTGATTTGATTCGCTCCATGGGGGCTCCCATAGGACCCCCTGTAAAGGACAAGTTAGGTTCACCATCTACCGAGTCTGAAGACGGCGGAGGTGACATCGCCGAGCTAGCAGGAGACTTAGAAATATATGAAGCCAATGGTCCTAGCACTAATGGTAAGATCTCTCAACACATTGTTCAAAAATAAATATAATGTGAAACAATATCTATGATATTGTTTCTGTTCTGGCATTGCCAGTACTACTGTATGTATAGTATGGAATTCGGTTTTTAGCAATACTTAATTGGGACCCTTTCAAAACTTGAATTTAAATTGGTATAAGATGATTGTTTACTAGAATTTTCAAAGCATTCTTAATTCTCTAATAACTCTTGGGGCAAATTTTTCGCATAGGACATTAGGTAGTTATAGTTGATTACAGTAAATTATGTTATTTCATTAGTACTCTTTTACTTTATGTCATTTCATTAGGACTTTCTTTTACTAGGAGAGAGACAAGCTGTCCTGGCCCCTCCGGAGACAGAGTGGTATCATGGCCGGCTGGACAGATACACGGCTGAAGAGAGGCTGTGGAAAGCTGCCAATCTTGGAAGTTATCTGGGTGAGTATTTGGTATATTTAAAATCAATTTGAGGCTAAAAATTTTTCTGTTAAGCATTGAATTCTGCTACACTTTTTTTCTATTTCATTATTTAATGTAAACATTGTTTCTGTAATTGAAATGCAAAGTTCACTAATTATGCTAGAATAATTTAAGTGTTTTAATTAGACTATTTAAATATAAATGTTTCTGATGATAAGACAGGAAATTGTCTTCTAAAAAATAAACTACTTAAATGTGAAATAAATATGACAATGAGTCATATTTTAAGGAAGTTACTATGATAAGATTCCTATCCACACAAAAATGTTCAGTGAGTGTTTACTGTTGTTAATCATAAAAACTTTGCTCATATTTCTAAAACCCAGTGAGCTAAAAATAATGAATGCATATCTAAGCTGCATTGTGAATCTTATGAGTCTGCAATAAGTGCCACTTTATGAGCAAGTGTTATTAAAACAATTTATTAGGAGTAACCTACTAAGAGTTATGTAGGTATGTGGATCTTTATTGGTGGTTTCAATAAGTTTTCTTTTTCATTCCTATTTGAGAAGGAAAGCGTCTAATAATTTACTTTTACTACTACAATGCTTGTTTTTACGCTATTAAGTAGTATTGCAAAACAAACGATGCCTCTAAGAGATATCTTTTTCTCACACATTATTTCACTTACAATACAGACAGTTTCCCAGTTCCCACACAGAAGTGCCAATCAGTATCAAGTGTTTTGCTTGTATTGTATAACAGATTTCTTTGCTTTATAATGATAAATAAACACTTATAATTTCCTAAATTTTTACATTGAGGAATATTTGCTATCATTATTTATTCATGGATATGCTTTTAAATTATCCTCTACCTTAGATTGGGGGAGCATTTATTTTCCTTATTGGACATTCCTTAAAGTACCCTTAAGTTGGATCTTGGATGCAACATAGCAAGGTTTTTAATACATCTGTGCTTTTCAGTTCGAGAGAGTGACAGGAAGCCAGGGTCATATGTTCTGAGCTACTTGGGAAGAACTGGAATAAACCATTTCAGGTATTTTTACAATAGTTTAGTAACTTTACTTGAAAATTTTGTTTTTTTTTTTAGTTTTGGCACTAATCTTGTATTTGTATAGAATAACAGCAGTTTGCGGCGACTACTACATAGGCGGTCGTCAGTTCGACTCCCTAACTGAACTGGTGGGGTTCTACAGTCACTGCTCGGACTTGTTGAAGAGAGAGAGACTAGTGGAGCCTGTACCTCCCCCTGAACCAGTTAATGATAAAAAGGTAAGAGTTTATGGAAAATAACAACTTCTGCCTGCAGTTTCGTCTGCATGATTTGTCAGAGAAAACACTTTATTTCTTTCCTAGTACACACCCCTATGCTTTGTCTGCATGATTTGTCAGAGAAAACACTTAATTTCTTTCCTAGTACACACCCCTAATCAGAAAAATGAAGAGTTTCCTAAACTAACTCACATCCATTTCTTTTTATGACAAAATTATATGGCAAATGACTAAAGCCTATTGGTGCCAAATATCATCCAAGTTGGAAAGTCTCTTGAAGACGTAATAAACAGACTATCGCACGTATTCACAAAAACAATGCTTGCAAGCAAGCAGCAGTAAATCGAACGCACAGTGTTTAATAGAGCTCTGTGATTGGTTCATCTGTCACTCTGTGAGTCCACGCGCACTGTGAGACCTCATATTAATGTTTGTGAATATTTCTTCACAGAGAGTGGTGGCAATACTTCCATACACCAAGATGCCCGACACTGACGAGTTGACGTTCCAGAAAGGCGACATCTTTTTCGTCCATAACGACATGGGCGATGGCTGGCTTTGGGTCACCGCACATCGGTAAGTGTTTTTAGATGTTGTGACCTTCAAATTATAGCCAAGTGAAGCGAGAGGAGTGGTCGCTTTAAGGACGTAGCACACTTATCCTGGAAAGGGAAGTGACCCTTATCAATTCGAGCCTGTATTATTTGTATGAAACTCCATACTGCATCGCTAACTTATCCGCACCGTAATGTAAACGCTTTGTCTCGCGGTTGACAGCGCGCAAAAGGCGATGACAGCTCGCAAAAGGCGATACGGTGTTGATCCCTTTTCGAGTTGATAAGTCTGCTATGACCTTTAGGCCAGACAGCAAGGGACGTCAAATGATGGTTGTTAAGGCGATTATCACACTGCACCGCGCTCTGCCGCGGTCCGCGTGGCGACATATAACGAATCCCGCGCGCAAACGCATTTCAGTGTGTTGTGCCGCGCGTGTTTTCTATACAAACTAAGGTACTTGCATAATTATAATGATTAAATTGGTTCTGTAAGGTATCATGAAGTTCCATGTGGCCTTTGCGTTTTGTTGACACTTTCGCATTTATGTTATTAGTAGTGGTAATTTATTAAGTATCTGAAGGGTACGTACATTGCATGTTAATTTTATTAAACTAGGATAACGCCGTTGACTGTCCAATTAGTCTGTATATTTATTGAACTATCTTAAGAAAAAATATGTATTGTTCAGTTGTTTTCCTAAATAAATTAAAAAAAAAAATCTGTCGTCCCGCGTACCGCGGCGGAGCGCGGTGCAGTGTGATAATCGCTTAAAAGAACTAAAAAGTCAAGATGTATTTGTAATCAACTCAATTGTAGTTCTGTTGATCCCTTCTAGATTAGGCTGTCACAGTAACTGAAATAATACAACATTAACTCTGCCTTATAAATGTAAAATATACGCCATAAACCCACTAGTGCCATGATCCTAAAAAGTAATGAACTACATCCTGGTATTGTGTTATGCCGGCTCTTTTATGTTATGATCCCTCAGTTCATCTACCAACTTACTAGCTAGGTTAGTAGTCAGTTTCGCAAATGTGATTTCATAAGAGATCGCGAAGGCGAATGATCAAAACTTAATGTGTATAACTTTATTGAATCGAAATCTATTTTCATTTCAGATTTTCTAAAGGCACTGAAACCTTTGCTAAGGAACTATTATACCTCGCTGGTTAATACCTAGTTTTCTATTTATAATTAGGTACATAAATGTTTTATTATTTTAATTACATTTTCCGTTGCGATTGCTCATAACGATAATATTATAAATAAAGGAAGGCAGTTAATCGTGCGTTAACCTTACTATTATCACAATTAGTTCACAGCTCACTAACACGAGTGTAACATTGTGAAATATGTGAGTCATAGATTATTACTTAGGATGTTTGTAAATAGTAATAATGTTGTTGATCTAGCTCTTTATCTATATTCTCAAACGTCGACTAGAGAACGAATCATCAGACGTAAATAGATAATTACGGATACATTAATTATAATTATATTTTGGTACACTCCTACTGAACATAAATACTCAATGTGGGTAGACTCTATCATGCTATTATCTAAGTAAAATTTCCCTCCAGAAGAATTCAATCCTTCAGTCATCACCTGTCTCATGTATTAATTAGTTTAAAGCTATTTTGATGATCCCCAATGTTGAGCCAATCCTTTATTATTTTATGGCATAGATACGTCAAATTGACATTGGATAATAACTTCTACGTATTATCAGTTTACTGACTTAAATCATTATTTTCCAACCCAGAACCGGTGAACAAGGAATGATCTTCAGGGAGTTAGTTGAGGATCTGGATCCGTCTATAGACCCTAACACCGTCTTCTCCTGGTTCCATCCCAACTGCACCAAGAGCGAAGCAGTGGACATGCTAGTGAAAGCCGGGCCTGGAAGCTTCCTTGTGAGACCCTCGGATAATTCTCCAGGGGATTATTCCCTGTTCTTCCACATCAACAACCAGATACAAAGGTTCAGGATAGAGAAGAAGGGAGTGAGGTATCTCATGGGCGGTAGAACGTTCGAGTGCCTGGATGCGGTCATCAACAGATACAGGAAGGAGCAAATTGTGGAAGGACACACTTTGGGGCAACCGGTAAGTGATTGACAGAAGTACGGCCTATGTTGAACTGTTGAAGTCTTTATTATAATGATCTGGTATTTTGAAAAAGTAAAAACAACTGTTATCTCCTTTGAATAATGATGATTTACTGTACATTATTTACTTTTTGATTCAGCAACAATAAATCTGAACGTTAAAGTTTTCCTGATATAAACACATTTTGATATAAAAAAAAACTTTCCGTATTTATAACACCAGTTAGTATTACAAGATTAAAAACCGGAAAGCTATGTCGAATAAGTTTGTAATCGGATTTCGAAAATTATTGCTAGTCTTTATAATATTCAATGAAATAGTGTTAAAAACACGCTTAAATATTCGTAACTACATTACTCACAGACAGAAGTCAACGACTGTATGTATAAACATGAGATGAAGAACACTGAGATGTTTCATACAAATCGGCAATTACAAATACATTACTTTATTTTCCTCAGCTAATCGCGGAAGGTCACCAAATCGAACCGCAGCAAAACGCTACCGGTGCCGCAGCCGAGAAAATATACGCAACACTACGCGAGTGCCGAGACCAGATCGGCTTGAAGAAGATGAAAGGCATCAAGCACCAGGGCTACCTGAACAAGAAATCAGACAAAGGCGCCAAGAAATGGAAGGCTCTGTACTTTGTCTTACTGCAGGAGGGAACTGACACCCATTTGTACTTCTACGACTCCCCTAAGAGAACCAAGCCTAAGGGCTTGATCGATTTGTCGTGCGCTTATCTGTATCAGGTATGTGTTTGTTGTTATGGTACATAAATGATTTTTTATTTTCATTTCCTCATGTTAATATTAAATTCGATAAACTAATGTTGTCCGCAGTTGTGCTCGCGTAAGAATTTCATGTTTCAAATATAAGTCATATGAGGACGTAGGTAGTGTGAGTTTAGGTACGTCAAACGCATTCGATGTCGACTGCGTAAAAAAGCCCCTAGCGGAAACTTTCAAGAACTAAAATCTTATATTATCAGAGTAAATACAAATGAGTAGGTCAAAATTCGGCGCAACCACGACTGGCTCCCCGCTAATCCCCGCTAAATTTTGTCAGTGTGTGCATGCGCGCCGCAAACGTGTTGGCGCGCTCACATACAAACCGCGCCCGTGCGTTTCTATGAAGATGACCTACTCATTTGTATTTTTTCTGATATTATTTAAATCGCTCGCTAGTGACGACGTTTAATGTAAACTCACACTAAGCCATCTGTTTGTTCCTTTTGTTTAGGTGCACGAATCGCTTTGGGACCGCGAGTTCTGCTTCCAACTGGTAGAGCGGGCGCTGCCTTGCCTGTCCACGCATACTTTCTTGGCCGCCAACACAGCTGGGGAACAACGTGCGTGGCTTGAAGCGTTGCGGCCGCTGTGCGTGCCGCAGCAGGCCAGGCACCAGAACAAGGTATGTTATACAGCTACTGTGGGATTTATTATAAAGGGTATAAGCTTGCTTTTCCTCAAGAGATGTGCAAGAAAAGTGATGATCGGAGTGAAGATGAGTAATTGCTACTGTAGATACGGCAATATGTAACTCCCTTGATGATCATATGGCCTGCAATGTGTATTACTTCCTTTTTTGTAGTCAGCTGAACCGTATAATGTGTAACTGCTCTGTTATCGTCAGGAGGTTCTTATTGGGACTAGGGAATGTGTAACTATTTGTCCATTAGGTGGCCCGCGTACTGTATAACTTAACTTCAACAGAGCCTGCATTAACTAACTCCTCTTTGGTCACCAGAGGGCTTAGTGTGAGTTTACGTCAAACATCGTCACTAAAGTCTGTTCGCCGAGAGTTGATAAAAAAAATTAAATATCAGAGGTTCTAAACTCATTATAAATTGCGGCCCGCTAACTATTTTTGTCGATATAATGAAAAAGTTGGTAGATTATTTGGCCTGGCCTTTTTTTTGGCCTGGATTCTCGGCTCGGTTACTATTTAATTTTGGACTACCATTTATAAGAATGTTCTAAAAATACCAATTTTCTACCAAAATCTACTAAACGATTTCGCACTACTAAATCATCGTTCTCTTTGCCTCAAATTTACCAAAAAAGTAGAAATCTACTAAAAATGGTTNAAAACAACTCCAACATTAGACATCCCGGTGTTCGGTGGGAACTACACGCAGTGGGTGTCCTTCAAAGACTTGTTCAATGAGGCAATTCATAACAATCCAACATTATCACATGCACAGAAAATGCAATTTCTGAAAAGTAAACTGAGAGGTGAGGCTGAGAGGTTGATTCAACATTTGTCAATATCTACTGACAATTACTTAACATCCTGGAACATCTTGAACCATCGATATAACAACGAAAGACTAATTTTTACGTCTCATATCAACATACTATTCAACCTACCAACTATGCAGCAACCTTCACTAACAAACATTAAGAAAATGCATGACGTAACAAGGGATTCCCTCCTTGTCTTGGATCTTGGCCTTCACATTTTCGATAGTGTCAGAGGCCTCAACCTCCAGAGTGATGGTTTTGCCTGTGAGAGTCTTTACGAAAATCTGCATGCCACCACGAAGACGCAGTACAAGGTGAAGGGTGGACTCTTTCTGGATGTTGTAGTCAGAAAGGGTGCGGCCATCCTCGAGCTGCTTGCCGGCAAAGATAAGTCGCTGCTGATCTGGGGGGATACCCTCCTTGTCCTGAATTTTGGCCTTCACATTTTCGATAGTGTCAGATGGCTCAACCTCAAGGGTGATGGTCTTGCCTGTGAGGGTTTTCACGAAGATCTGCATTCCACCACGCAGACGCAATACCAGATGTAGGGTGGACTCTTTCTGGATATTGTAGTCGGACAAGGTGCGGCCATCCTCGAGCTGCTTGCCAGCGAAGATGAGACGCTGCTGGTCTGGGGGGATTCCCTCTTTGTCTTGGATCTTGGCCTTCACATTTTCAATGGTGTCAGATGGCTCAACCTCAAGGGTGATGGTCTTGCCGGTGAGGGTTTTCACGAAGATCTGCATACCACCACGCAGACGGAGTACTAAATGCAAAGTGGACTCTTTCTGGATGTTGTAATCGGACAAGGTGCGGCCGTCTTCCAACTGCTTGCCAGCGAAGATCAGACGCTGCTGGTCTGGGGGGATTCCCTCTTTGTCTTGAATTTTAGCCTTCACATTTTCAATGGTGTCAGATGGCTCAACCTCGAGGGTGATGGTTTTGCCAGTGAGGGTTTTCACGAAGATCTGCATACCACCGCGCAGACGGAGCACCAGATGAAGGGTGGACTCTTTCTGGATATTGTAGTCGGACAAGGTGCGGCCATCTTCCAACTGCTTGCCGGCGAAGATGAGTCGCTGCTGGTCTGGGGGGATTCCCTCCTTGTCTTGGATCTTGGCCTTCACATTCTCAATGGTGTCAGATGGCTCAACCTCAAGGGTGATGGTCTTGCCTGTGAGGGTTTTCACGAAGATCTGCATACCACCGCGCAGACGGAGCACCAGATGAAGGGTGGACTCTTTCTGGATGTTGTAGTCAGAAAGGGTGCGGCCATCTTCTAACTGCTTACCGGCGAAGATAAGTCGCTGCTGGTCTGGAGGGATTCCCTCCTTGTCCTGGATCTTAGNCGCAGAGGATCACCGTGCCACATCTACAGCGACAATGGTACCAACTTTGTTGGTGCCAATAGAACACTGCAAGACCAGTGGCAACAACTGCAACAAATCTTCAACGAGAGCTTCCTAGCGGAAGTAACAGAGATGAAAATTGAGTGGCACTTTAACGCCCCCGCCTGGCCCAGCGCTGGCGGACTTTGGGAACGTGCTGTACGCAGTTTGAAACATCATTTGAGGAGAGTAGTAGGAGAACAGAAGCTGACGTTTGAGGAGTATAACACCATTCTAANGTACCCTGATTTCAATGTTCCAACCAATGATCTGCATTCATTGTTTTGCCAACTTGATCCTTACACTGCACCCTATACAACTATAAATGATTTATTTTACTCATATTGTGATCATGAATAACTTTATCAGGTAGTTTAAGAAAAAGAACTGAAATAAATGACCTCAAAGTGTTTTCAGATTTGAGTTGGTATACAAAATACTTTGGTGACTATAAAGATATGGGTTGAGTTGTATAGCCTGACCAGGAACATAAAAACCCTCGCCATGTTGCGGAAAACTAATGGTACTAATTTCTTTTAATGGCAACAATAACTGAAAACTTCATTGACATGTCACCTTGCATGTCAGTGTATTGTTGTCAAAGTGTAAACAAACTTTATTTTAAATGTGTGCAATTGATTTTGTGAATTAAATTGCTAGAATATTTTTATAGTCGTGAAAGAAAAGTGGTTCACAATGTGTTAATGTATTTGTCGAAGAGAAATACTAAGGGTTCGGACAATATTTTCATTGAATAATGTTTCCGACAATGTCTGTCTGTCTGTCTGTCTGTCTGTCTGTATGTTCCTTATAGAAACAAAAACTACTTGACGGATTTTAACGAAACTTGGTACAATTATTCTCCATACTCCTGGGCAGGTTATAGGATACTAAGGAATTCCCACGGGAACGGGCATTAGCGGGAAAATCCTTTTGTATGAAAAATCTAAACCGCTTAAGTTAGACGCTTGAAATTTGGCATATAGGTACCTTATTAAACTTAGAGCTTAGTTACAACAAGGAATTCCCGAAATTCTCACGGAAACGGGAACAAGAGGGAAAATCCTTTTGTATGAAAAATCTAAACCGCTTAAGTTAGACGCTTGAAATTTAGCAAGCAGGTACCTTAGTAAACTTAAAGCTTAGTTATAACAGGATATTGCAAAATTCCTACGGGAACGGGAGTTAGCGGGAAAAAACATTTGTATGAAAAAATCTAAGCCACTTAAGATAGACGCTTGAAATTTGGCATGCAGGTACCTTAGTAAACTTAAAGCTTAGTTACAACAGGATATTGCGAAATTCCAACGGGAACGGGAGTTAGCGGGAAAAAACATTAGTATGAAAAAATCTAAGCCGCGTAAGATAGATGAAGGGGGTAAAACGGGTTCCACGCGTACGAAGTCGCGGGCGGCTGCTAGTTTTTAAATAATTCGGTTTGGATAACCTGGCACTTCGCCATACCACAGAGAATTCAATTTGCACTTCAATTGTCCACTACGGCGACTACGTCAAAGACATTAGGCCGCCATACTGTCACAGAGCCCGCATAATTGAATAAAACAATTTCGTTGTAGCTGAGACGGGGCATCAACAATAATCGGATCTATTAAAGCATCGTTACTGAAATTTAATCAAATGAAAGAAAGGAACCTTTTTCTTTTGAAAAGAACCTCTGTTTACACGAATATTACTTATAAGATTTTTGTTTTAGCTCGGGTAATAATAAGATATTTTTTTGTCTTTGAGGCACTGCTGTAACAACTAAAACTAAGCAAATGTAATGTGTTTTAAACGATAATGTTATGAGCAAATTTAATAACACACATTTTTATGTTAAGGCTTTTTCTTTTAGTTGGTACGAAATAATTTGAGACATTTTTATTTCCGTTTGGTTTTGCTAGTTGGAGACTAGAAAATAAATTGATTTTAACTAAAGTTAAAGTGAACTTCATGTTGGTCTGGAATCCACTGGCTATTGATAAACCATAATAATAATTTTGGATTTGAATTTGAATTATTACGTGAATTATCTACGAGTATTTTAGGAAACTAAAACTAAAACATTGGGGTTGAATCTGTACCTAAATAGCGGCAAGTTTTGTGCAGTTTATAATTGGAATTGGCATCAGCTTGACCGAAGCAGTTCAATTTTAATCAGGTAACCCCTGACTCAGCAAATCGATTACAATATAATCGTCTCTACTCACCCTGGGATGCTCGTATGGGTGTGAAGCACGATTGTGTCGATAATCGAATTGTTTTACGGTGTAATAAACCCCTTGGTTGTAATTTGGTAAAAAAATGTTTGATGATTTCTTTTAAAAGTTGTCGTATTTGTAGTCACTTTATTCATTCACCCTCCTCATATACTTTTATGTTACCAAGTACAAAATTTCTGGCAATTTGAAAGCATGATTATGGCGTTGTGTAATCGCAGAATTATGTACAAAATCGGAGTAAATTTCAATTTAACCTTTAGTTGCTTTAAGTAGCAATCGCTGCGGGTACTTCAAAAAGTTGCATCTGCTTCAACCATAATGCTATGGGCCTTAATACTCAGTTATTTCAGATTATCAGCTCGTTTAATCACAACCGAGCCGGACTTTGTTAGGCGTTTGCTCTTGACACCAGGCGCCTTTCGCTCTGATTTGAAGCAATTAACCCGCCTTTTAATCCCGCTGTCCGGCGCAGTATGCGAACAAGATTATATCACGGTTCGTACCCTGATCCTATTTAAATTCCAGCGTGTCACTTTCTTACAATAAATAAATAATGAATTAAACGCTTGTTTCTGATTAACTTCTTAAATACTGATCCGAATGAAATGACTTCTGGAGAAAACTATAGTGAGTCAAAGTTATACTTTTTATCACCAGTGACATCAGTAGGGAAGTGCGACAGCCTTCCTTTGAATTGAAGGGGCGCCCGACCCGTAGGAGAAGTCTACTGATAATATGCGAAGGGAATACGGCCAACAAAAAGTTTGGATTAGCTTTCCCCTTTTATGATGTCAGTATTTTTTCATTGATTTGCATTAGTAACAATGTTTACGGATTGGGCTTATTCTATATTTTCGGTTAATATCATGATCAAGTGAGTGGAAGTGGAACTAAGAATAAATTAGATAATGAAGATAAAAATCTGCACTCAACGCGTGTTCTTTAACAAAGTTACTTAGGTACTCGTACATGGAACTTCATATCTCCACTATTTACAGGTGTAAAAAGTTCCTACGTGTGAAACATGATCTTGTTCACATAACAAATACTGTTATCGACATCCAGATACAAGGTTCGCTTCTCTATAAACGCGCGCTAAGCGGCAATCTGATTTATGCCCGGGCAACTTTCACGGCGCCGTCTTTGCCTATCATCGGATTACATTTGATTTTGAACGTGGAAATATGCAGTCAGGATAAAACTTGTTGCGAAAATAACCCTTTTTACGTAGGGAAAAATCGGCAGATACTTTTCCTTTGGCGAGAGTTTGTTTCGGCACTGTAAACATTTGCTTTTCGCGCACGGTTTCAGCGCTATGTTAGTTTTTTTTTAAATCACTTTTGCGCTACATAGATGTTATAACGTTTGAAGTTGTTTTAACCTGAACAACTTTTTAACTAAATGTCTAAACCAAATCTGCTTACACTTATAACATTTTGTATCCAAATGAGCCATGGTAATATAGGACATGTTCTAACCACGGTTAGTTACAGGATCTTGTATGTTTTTTGTTATTATTCAAACAATACCGCATATTATGCAGAATTACATTATCAGCAAATTAACTTCGTGCTTTAGAACTTTTACGTCAAAAACTTTATCTACTAGTAAAGTGGCTACTCATGTTTCAGTTCTTGAAGAACTACAATCTTGAGGCATTCGCACACGCGCATTTCGTAGCCAATAGAAAGTACTCACCATGGTGTATTGCAGGTGTGCGTGAGGGTCATGTACCTCACTCCGAGTTGGTAGTAGCTGCGGAGGACTCCAAGGGAGTTGGCGATGGAGTGGCCACCTTCGATGCCGATCAGGGAGGCGATCTTACGCGGACGAGCGCTGTGAGCTTGCAGGATGTCTGTTGAAAGGTAAAGTAAAATAAATGTAGTATATTAAGATAATTTCTACGAATTCCGCTTCGGTTAGTCTACAAATACAATGCTGCTATCTGCTCTAGAAAGTGAACAATTTTCGTCATAGGCTCACATTTGGCTCTACCAAATATGCATGGTCACGTTGACCTATTGGTAGAAATACAAATCAGGGCAAGGCTGCTGAAATATCAAACATGCCGATATAGTCTAGCAAAAATATATTTTCACCCCAGACTAAGACGGAATTGCAGCTAGATGGAAACAAAATTGTTTGTAAATGCAACCGAGCATACCTAGTTCTCTCATCTTATATTTCATCCAGTAAATAAGTTCCTTTTTATTTTCAGTATTCACAGTTCCATAAAAGTCGCGGAGAAGTAATAAAAATCATGCACACAGAATATGTGCAAATACCAGGAAATGTATATTTAAATATTGTCGGTGAAACAAGACTGTTATACCGGTTTTAAATTCAAGACATTTGCATTTCTAGACATGAAAGCACAAACAGCGGCCTTTTACTGCGGGAAATCTTGAGCTTTTTCTTTTTCACGATCGCTTTGAAGAAATATATATAGCTTTATAATACTTTTAAATAAACATCTCAATTATTTTTAACAAGGTCTACTGGCATAGTTTGGAAGGGCCATCATAGATCCGATTATTTCGGTCGCTCTGTGGAGAGGATAGTTTTTGTCAACTTTAACATTATTCTGTCTCGTTATAGCAATAATCTGATAGTAACAAAGGGATGTTAATGATGACCTTTACGACTGAAAGTTTATGTTAACAAGTAAAAAAATATGTACCCAAAACATTGACTATTTTGGTGATGTGCGTTTAAAAACCAGGTTTTTCC